TCTTTACGTTCCTGTTCGTGTGTACCACCGACCCTCCAAACAAATGTGTACAGTTCCGAGAACGTACCGGCTCATAATAAACGTGGAGGGCGTAAGTCGCAAAGAAAACGAATACGTAAGCAAATGTGTCATTACTTTGTCGGTATAACGGGGTGAGTGCAGCCCCATTATTTTTCTGTAACCGGCGTGCCAGAAGATATATATATATATATATATACATATATATAACTGAGAAGAAAAAACCCTTAGGGAAAACAGCAACAACGGACTACGGACGACAAATCGTCCGTTGCTGTTTTCACTAAGGGTTTTTTCTTCTCAGTTATATACCCACGCCTTCGGCCTCCCGCCACCATGCCCGTTGTATAAATATATATATATATATATATATATCAGGGTGTCGAACCGGAACCGAACCGGTATTTTTCCGGAACTGAACCCGAACCCGAACCGTTATATTGTTATCGCGATGAACCCGAACCGGAACTGAACCGGAAAAAAAATAACGGTTTCCGGCTCACGACAAAACGGTTCAGCCACGCGCTGTTGACAATGAATGTGCTATCAATGCCATTTGTTTTTTAAGTGCCTTCAACTGACACACACCTCGCTTACATATTTTTCTTCTCCACCCAGTCTTAGGAATATAAACGCTGCATCCATGAATCTTGACATAGGAACCAGTATTGCGCTGGTCGCGGCTTGCGCGGAAGAAAAAAAATTGGAAGGCTGTGCAAAAAAAAAAAAAAAATCGCGTCACGGGATTTCATTTTCCTATAATCTCGTAAATCCTAAATGCTGCTGTGTGCTCATTTCATAACACGTTTCTAGAACGCGCGAGTTCTTGAAGCTTGCTTCCATCGGAATGAGAAAAGAAAAGGCTGTGGAGTTTGATAATAATGCATCCGGTTTTGTATTCACCGATGTTTGTTTGCAAACAAGCTCACTACCACCCCCTATCGGCGGACCCCTGCGCGCTTCCGGTTTTCCTCTTCTTTTCCATTTGTCTCTCCACCTTTAGTTATTTTCACTATTTTGTACAGTGCACTAATGTTCTTACAAACATACTACAGAAACTTCTTTGAAGGAAACTCTTCTTATCCGACCGCTGTGCGTTGCTGAGGAATGAATAAATACACTACCGGAAGTCTACCGGGGCACCCAATACTGTGGCGCCCTCGTGGTATCAACTCCCACCGAATGTGGTGAATAGGCACTTAGAAGCTAACATATTTGTGAGACAGCAAACTCTTCTATTTTAATATTTATCCTATTACGTCCTTCTGGCGTTGCGTTCGGTGAAGTGTTTTTCATATTCCGTATCTTGTTTAATGAAAACTTCTTTAAGGGTCTAATTTGAGTTACCGAAGGCTAGTTCAAATAAAGAAAGCTGTATTTTCTCCCCACTGTTCCTTCAATTGCTTACACGCCGAGGTGGCGGGATAGTTAGCGAGTTCTACTTGTAAGTGGGTTTGTAAGGAGGTCGCGGATTTTACAGCTACTGCGTCGGACCCAATTAGAATAAGTCCGAATGCGTAAACGTCGGTGAGGTAACCTTTGAGTGCACATAAAGAAACCATTCCTGGTAGAAATCCCTGAGCCTCACACTACGATGTATCCCGTTTCGTATGTGCTGATTTCAGATGTTTTATTTGTAACTTATTTTGATGTTGCAATTTGTCATTTATAATTTCCGAACCGGTTCGCGAACCGGTTCAGCGCCCCGCGGATCGAATTAATCGAACCGGAACTGAACCGGAACAAAATAAATTTACCTGAACCTGAACCGTAACCGACCCCGTATTTTTTTCGGTTCGACACACTGATATATATGTGTATATATATATATATATATATATATATATATGAAGTAAGGTAAATATAAAAACAATTTAAAAGTAAACATTTGACAGAGATCTGTCTGGTTGGGAGTAATTAATATTAAAAAATTCGGACACCAACCAAGCCCTTCTGTAGGGACCCAACGTTTCAAGGCCAATTCGGCCTCTTCTTCAGGGGCGACTACGGCTATGGCCGTTGAGGAGCAGTATCCTTTTCTTTTTCTTCTACGGCGTTAAAAACAATGGACCGGGAAAAGTTCATGTCAAAGATGCGTGCTCTCGGAGCTACTAATTCGAAGTTTATTACGACGTTTCGAGCGGTCCGCGCCGGTCCCCGCTCGAAACGTCGTAATAAACTTCGAATTAGTCACTCCCGCACGACTCACCTTTGACTTATATTCGGTTCAACAAAAGTTCGCGACACCTCAGTGGAAACCCACTGAGATTAGTGTGGAAGCCAGTGCTGCCGCAAGCGCAGTCATCATTGACGCGATGGCCATGCGGCTTCTGGTGCTTTCTGATAAACGCCTTGAGACTTTAGGCTTTTTTTTTTTTTTGCTTTTTTTTATTATTTGGATTAGGTATTTCAATTTATGGCCTGTGCTCTTTCGCAGTCGAAAACAACAGATGTATGTTTTAAAAATCATTTTAGCCTCTGCGCTCAGTGGTGTATGCTTCAGGAAGAGACGTTTAGCAACATTCTGCAACAAGCAGCGAACGTCCTGGTTGGACAGTATAGACAAGGGTCTTCGCGAAATTTTGTCAAACCGGATTTCAAGGTCGTACTTTCAGGGTTCGACTGAGTCGAACCGGTTCGACTAACCATCAAACTTTTCACCAGATTCGACCGGTTCAACTTTGTGGACAGTGTGGCTAAACCTTGATACAAGCATGTCTAGGTTTGGAGAGTTTTTTTATGCAAAGGGTTATTTTAATTTTGTGAACCGCTGTAATTAAAACAAAACTAATTCTAATCCCTGATGAAAAAGTTAATAACTTAATTTTTTTTGTACTGCATTCACTGAAATAACCAATCAGCGCTGCCCTTAATTCATCTCTTAGCCATCACCATCCAATCCGAAGCCAATTTGCCAGCCTGTCGCACATGCGCATACGAGTCGAACGTCAATACAAGGTTCGTCGAACTTTCCACAAAAAATTCGAAAAAGTCGAACCTGGTCGAACTCGAACCTCGGCCGGTTCGCGACACCCCTAGTATAGACCATAGAGTTATTATAATGTACGCTAAAGGTTCAACTGGCGTTATAGTGTGCTGCTGCAAATTGAAGCAGGCAGTACCCAGTCGGAAATTGACTTCCGCTAATGCATATCTATAGGAAAAAGCGAGTGCATTTTCTCTCTGAGCTCGATTTTAAGGCCAGATATCACGAATAATGCGTACGTGCTAGGTAGCTTGGAACATTTCTCAGTCACGTAGACGAAATAATTGGCCAGTTATAGCATTTTTATTTGAAATTCGTTTCATAAAAAAACTGCTAAGACGGCTTCGTACATGTATTTATGTGCACTGTCGGACACTGTTAGCGCGAACACGGCGTCGGAGCTTTCCAGCATGGGGGATATACGTGCCAAACGAACGAAGGACATGTGGAAAATCAAGAGAGACGTCAAGAACTACGCAGTAACACTAGATAAGTAACTCCTTGTGCATGCAGACGATCAAAATAAATTGAAAGTCACGTAATATAGTTCGATTTGTAATAAATAAGTACTGCTTTATTCTTTCTGCTCATGATTACGCGCGAAGATGCTTGTTCTGGGTTAAAATCATCACCTGCACGCTCCAAATCTTTGCAGATAGGGAGAAGCCGGAGAACAGGTGCCTGATAAAAACTGCCCGAAATACGAAATAATAAAAATACTCAACTTTCCTAGCCCACGTTCTTTAGTTTTTTACGTTCGAATGTTTGTTTAACCGATCGTAAAGATGCAGAACGGAGTCATTTTAATTTGGTGATAGGGCGGGCATATTAATAATATATAAGCGCCACCGGAACGCTAGCGAACCATGAACGCACTCTCCATCCAGATCACTCGTTATTTTGCTTAGAATCGTCGCTCGTTTTTACATACCTGCCATGGAACACAGGTTAGTGTCTGAAAAATAGCGAAGTTTAACATCGCTCAGTGGTAAAGAAAAATGCTGTAACTAAAGCAATTACACTTTCACAATATTAATAAAAGTACATACTATCCGGTACAACAAAATAACAGAACTTATTCATGTTATTTTCCGGCAAAGAGGCAAAATTCAAGCGCGTTTTCCCACAGGAATGCACAGCAGCACCGCAAAATTAGACTGGCTGCTGTCCGCTTCAATTTGCCTCCCGGAAGTCGCATAGACCAGTTGAAACTCTAGCTTACATTATAATAACCTCACAACGGGATCCCGCTTGCAAAGGTGTATCGTAATGTTGTCTACGTTCCGTTGCACTTGAAGTCGATCCGACCGCAGCCAACGCTACGAATCGATGTGGTGCCAATCGAACGTCACCAAAAGAGCATCGTCGTAGCGCACTTCGTCTTTGTGCATTTGCCGTCACCAGCTAAACTTAGCACGCACAGTGAATGCGGCGGACATTAGGGAATTTTAGGGAGCCCTTTTGCCCATCCGGTACGGTACGATGAGCCGTCCGGTAGGAACTGCGCATGCGCAGTTCGTGACGTAGGGCCCATCGTACTGTAACGGATGGGCAGAAACGGTTCCCTAAAACTCTTTGTTGGGGAATCGTAGTAGACCGTTTCCGCAGCCCGCTAAGCACCCGGATAGCGCTCCGTAATCCGCCACAAGACCTTGAACTATGCAGATAAGGCTGACGGCACGCATGCGCAGCTGCGGCGTTTTGCTCAAGGATACCGTACCGGAGGAGAAAAACGGTCTACTACAATTCCCTATTGTCCAAGACAGCCTCATGGCGAATATCCGCAACGAGATATATGATTCTATCACGAAAGACTGCGTCGAGTCACGGGTAAGACAGAAACTGATTGCATGTAGCTAGTTACAACGCACCGACGGTTGGTGCCGATTAGCAATGCGTAAAATCTCTCGGCACAGATTTTAAGACAACCAGAAATGTACGCACGTGAGCGTTCGTACAATCAATCGTATACAAGAGAAAAACAACTCCTTTACAGGTGAAGAGTGGAAAAAGGTGCGCAACGTGCTGAATCCCAGCTTCACCACGGGCAAGGTGAAACTCTGCTCTGAGATTGTAAGCAGATGCACCGAGGAACTTGTCAGGGTGCTGAAGACGCATCACGAGCAAAGTGAGCCTGTCGATTTGCTGCAAGTGGCGCAGGGTTACTCCTTGGACGCCATCACTAAGATTGCCATGGCCTGGAAGGTGAGCCCCGCAATATTACCTCGTGTAAGATATGCAAAAATAGAATACACTACTCTCAGATATTAAACAATAAGAAACGATATATAAACATGCTTGTATGTATAGTTTTATGCTTCAAAGATACCATTTTCGGTCTGACAAAGGTCGTACGTAAACATCATTTACAAAAAAAAAAAAAGCAGTGCAAGGACAACTTACTTGGGAATTCGTTGAGTAAAACGTGAAGGTGGTTTTTTACAAAATCGCAAGCTCATCAAAGGAGTGACTCTACAGTAGTTATGTCGTTTAACGAAGTCGAAGTATCAATGCATTATTCGAAGAGTAAAATTGACAAGTACACGAAAGATGAAAAATTGGAATAAAACAAATTTATGCAAGAATCGGATAGCAAAATAAAGACAATGTTAATTGCGAGAAAAAGAAAAAGGGTACACAATGAACACATGTAGAGACAGCCTATGGTAGAGGTTGAGCAAAGAGTAAACTAGAGGATGAAGACAAAAAGGACCTTGATTATACGGCGTGTCACTAGTTGCCTGCAACGCTGGCGAAGGCAACGGCAGGCGAAGAGAGAAATGGCGAGCACTAGGAAGGCGGGACGGGAGAGGATGGCAATGGGGGGCTAGGGGAGAAAAGGAGAGCACTAGGATAGTTAGAGGGGAGAGGACGTTTCCCTCCTCCTCCCCAGCCTTCCTAGTGCTTGCTCTTTCTTCCCTCGCCTGGCGTCGCCTTCGCCTGTACTGCACGCAACTAGTGACACGGAGTCTAGTCAGGTTATGATCCGAAAGAAGACATTTAGAAAGTGAAAGAAATACGTAACGTGAAAATTAAATTATTTTGATAAATTATAATTTATTAATTTCTTTTCGGGAACAAATTCAACGCCAACAAAGACGCTTAGGTAAAACAATTGCGTATGAAATACTGAAGCGCTGTTTCTTCCATCAGGTCAACTGCCAACAGAAGACAGACGATCCCCTACTTATCGGAGTCAAGAGGCTGTTGGAGGACCTAGACAAGGCAGTTGTCGAAAGCTCACTAGCACTGCCCGGGATAAGGGCGGTCCTCAAACTTCTCTACCCACTCACAAGCTTCAGCAATCTCTTGAATCGTATATCTGAAAACGTGCTGGACACAGTAAAGTCTCGACGTCAAGATCAGAGTCTCCGGGAGAAGGACATGCTACAGATGATGCTCGACGCCCAGGCCGGCACTGAAGACGCTGCTTACGATGTTCACAAAAGCGGTCCGCTCATCGAGGACCGTCATCTCGTCTCCAACTCTATCATCCTTCTTCTCGCAGGCTTCGAGACCACGGCAGTGACACTGGGCTTTGCCCTATATCTTCTCGCCATGCATCCAGAAGAACAAGAGAGGGTTCACACCGAAATGGAGGACCTGTTTTCGCACGCGAACGAACTGACATTTGACGACGTCCATCAGCTGAAGCGTTTAGACATGGTGATCCGCGAAACTCTTCGTTTGTACCCACCAGTTCCACTGCTGGTAGCTAGGACCTGTCTTCCGGACAAAACAGTCATGGGTCAATTCATTCCAGCAGGAACCACGCTCATCGCACCAGCTTGGCACATCCACCGAAATCCGGAATACTGGCCCGAACCCTCTCGGTTCCTTCCAGAGAGGTTCGCCGAAGGCCATCCGGAGCGCCATCCTATGGCGTACTTTCCCTTCGGGATAGGGCCCAGGACATGCATCGGCAGGCGGCTCGCATTGATCGAACTTAAGATGTCGATCTGTAAGATTCTACGCGACTTCAAGCTCGTACCGTGCGAGGAATCCCAGTATCCTGTCCCACTAGTGGTGCCTAACTTGACACTTCGCCCAGGTGTCGGCCTCAGGGTGAGACTGGAGAGGAGGCGAAAATGTAAGGACTGAACACATACCATACAAACGAATGTCTCCACTAGCGGTGTACCAACTTGTTTTTGAGTGGGGGGGCAAACCAGACGCAGAATCCCCCCCCCCCCCCCCCAGGACTGAGGAACGGAGCCCTTGGTATCCCTTGGGCGCCGCCGGCCAGTGTTTGCCCTGCCCAGTGGCGGCTGTTTCGGGGGCGGGGAGGGGGGCAAAACATGCTCTGCCCCCTCACCCTGAAAACTGGGGGAGCAAGCGCCCCCTTTGCCCCCCCGGTTGGTACGCCCATGGTCTCTACTCACAACCTACGTAAAGAGGGAGCAAGACAAAAACTAACATGTATCCTAGGTGACCAGACGTCCCGTTTTGACCGGGACAGTCCCGTTTTAGAAGTTCATCAATGCTTCATCTTTTGGTCTAACGAAGCCTCATGTCCCGTTTCCGTGGGAACATTCATAGTAGTTGTGAAATCAGTACTGTAAGATCAGAGTGGTATTTTTCCCCTAAATAGCTGTTTCGTTTATCGTTAGCCACTCGTCGGCATTGCCGGCGCCGAGAGGGCCCCTCCTTCGAGGAGAAGAGCGCTGCTGGTGTAAGCACGGGAAAGGGTAAGTGACGACTACGCGGTACTCCGCGAGCGCGCGCGGCGCCACCGGACGGAAGGAATGTGTCCTCTTGGGGGACGGAAACGGACACCCGGACGTACGGGGTCGGGGGAGTTTGGGCGGGAGAAGTACCGAAACTGGTCGCGGACGTGTGTCGTACGTCTGCCGGCCCTTTGTTAATAAATGTATAGTTAAAGCATCAAATCGTCGTCGCTGCCACTGCCTCGCCATCTAAGGGCCCGTTCACACTCTTGCAACCGAGTACGACCGAGAGAGACCAGACCAGTTTTTAAGCCTCTTGCAATATCTTAGGACCAGCTCCGCTGTATCGCGTCCGGTCCTAAGACATCGCAAGAGGCTTAAAAACCTGTCTGGTCTGACTCGGTCGCAAGAGTGTGAACGGCGCTTAAGACACTAGCCGCGATCAGGGAGAAAATCTTCGACGACTGACGCCTTTCCCCATCACAACACGAACCTCACTAGTACTAAGCAGTGATGGAAGTGCTGCGCCATTTGCGCCAAATTGCGTCTGCCACATGTCGCGCCAAAATACCATTTTTGCTCAAAATTACACTACACCTGCGAATTTAATATCCGTCGATATCAAATATTGAAAGAAGTGGAAGAGAAGAAAAGTGGTAAAAACGTTTATATATGTCACGGTGTCTGTACTCGCTGTTACTAAAATTTGCTCGTCTACCGCGCTGGCCACGCCATCAGATGATGACGTGGCCAGCGCCTGGAACTTTAGATTAACTTCCAGACGATAATGTCGATAATGTCGGCAATGTCACGGAGCTAGAAGTCGCAAGAAAAATTAATAAAATGGTGGTAGGAGCTGCTGTGATAAGGACGAAACCGGGGTCTCATACTCTTGTAAGGGTCATTTGATTTTCATTTCAGCCACACGCCTCCACGTCGTGGCACAATCGCCGCTCACGTGAAGCTTCACACCCTCGCCACAGGCGCATGTGCACCGAGCTTCACCACTTCGCATCGGTGCGTTAGGAGAAGTGGCTTGCGCGGGGGAATAAGCATGGGTAACCACGGTGGGCTCGGAAATTATGCTCAGCACTGTTACAGGTCAACCTTTTTCGGTCTTGATTGTAGGTAAATTTCTAATTTTAAAGAGCGGTGCCGCGAAGAGAAAACCAAACAAGAAACGCGGACCTATAGACAATTGCAAGCATGGCGCCACAAGTGGTGCCCCATGCGTGCAAGCGCGTGCAACGCGCGGGTGAACGTAGCTTTGGCAAGCTCGTAATCGCACGGGCGTGCCTGCTCGAGCAGAGACATGGCGGCGGCCAGTCGCCCAGTTTGCAATCGTCTATATTTGAGTAAGTGGACAGGGTAGTTCTCGTGCAGCAGTCAATCGAATGGTCTCCGAACTCCGTGGAATTTATTTTCTCTAATCGACGTTTTAGCGAATATGCTAGTTTTTTCAGGAATTTTACATAAATGATATTGACCAGTTACATTACTTATGAGCGTAAAATAGGGGGTTGGAAATATACCTAATCGTAACTGAAGTACCTTGCTATGATTCATTGTTTAATCATTCTTTTTTTTTTCCCCCTAATCTTCGTTGTAAACGGAACCTACTTTGACACCGAGCCCTTTTTCTAAAGAAACAATTGTGTGCCATTTTGTACTTTTTATGATTATTTATAGACCTTATAATTACAAAATGTAATAAGCAATATTCTTCGATGTCAAAGATGAACCGTTAAAGCCTTATCAAAGATTAGCTCATTTAATGATGCAATTATCGTTTAATTTTAAAGGGATGTGCAAACACATGTCGGGATAAAAAAAAATTAAATACTGCACTATAAGCGAATGGAAGAAAACCGAAAGAATGTCTACTTGTTACAGACGTAACGTAATGTCTAGTTGTTACAGACGTAACGTAATGTCTACTTGTTACAGACGTAACATTATAAAAATTAACATACTATGAAACATTCCGTAGTTGCAGCTAATACATTGTGTTTATACAAAAAGTTAAATACTGCACTTTAACCCTTTATGAAGCCCGAAAAATATACTTAAGTCAAGTGTGTTATTAGTGTACTATCTGATTTGTGATGACCTCGAGAAGTGCCTCCTAAAAAATTAATGTGCAACTACATATAGGTTTTATTAAAAAAAAGTGGAACATATGTGTCCCACCGCCTGCCGAACCAACAACAAGAAGTGGGACGCCCGTGTCCCACGGGCATGTTCAAGGCCGACTAGAACGAACAACTAGAAAAAATATTTTTGTTTTTTATCTCAACTCCAAATTGTGAAAAACACTCGGCAAACAGTTCAGCTATAATTGTTCTGGGAATGTTGCATGACAAGAGAGAGAGATAAAATCACTTTAATTAGAGCACAGATTAAGTACCCAAGATATCCTCCGCCTGAAGTACCAGGGCGAGCTGATCTTCCAGTTACGGCGACGCCAACCATGCACTCCAGGAGGGTGGTGGGGGGTTAGGAAGAAATGAGGTGGTGTAGGCGACCGGGCAATGAAGGAGACAATGTTCTTGATTGGCATAGGGAGCTGGGCAGTTGGGACAGGAAGGGTCTGATCGATAGCGGAAGAGGTAAAGGCGAGCAGGTGTGACGAGGGTGTTTGTCTGGATTTTACGGAGAATGTGGGTCTGCGCGACACTAAGCTGTGGATGTGGTCGAGGTAGAAGTTCATGAGATATACGGATCTGTTTGTAATGTAACTTGAGTGTTTTTTTGTACTCTGCTGCCTCGTCATTGGTCGGGGGGCTTAGCCAGGGGATTGCAGGTGCCCGGCTGTGAAATTCGCGGGCGAGCTGATGTACCAGCTCATTACCTGCTATCCCTGCATGACCAGGGACCCATCGAATCGTGACCGAGGATGAGGAGAGAGAGTGTAGGGCCATTTCAAGGTCCTCTCGAAGATCGGCAGGAATTTGCCTCTGTTGCAAGGAGCGTATAGCAGCCATAGAATCAGAGTAGACAGTGTAAGCGGACGTGCGCGGCAATTGGGAGAATGATATGATGGCATGGATAATGGGGACAAGTTCTAACGTGGTGATTGACGGGGGGTCGCTGTATGGACCGCACGTGTGAAAAAATAGGTAAGGAATGTTTAGGTATGTAGATTGCGTACGCAGCCGTGCCGGTGTCCAAGATGGAAGCGTCGGTATAGGCTACCGTCTGTGTCTGAAATGGTGGATTATGATGCAAGGCCTGAGCATCTCTGCGACCGTCGTCCAGGCCCGGAGCCATGCGGCGGGGCAGAAGAGCGAAACGCAGATTAGAGGGCAATGGCGAAGCGGGTAAGTGCAAGTAAAAATCAATTGGTGAGAGTCCAGCTTGTTCTAGGATCCAGCGCCCTTGATGTGACCCCGAGAGGCGGGCTAGCTGTCGGTCACGATGGAGGTGTAGGAGTGAGGAGAGGGGAAGGAATAGGCCGGTCTCGTAGAGTCTTTGCGTTGAGGTATGGATTGGAAGGTTAAGGGAGGCCTTGTACAGAGTGCTTAATGCAGAGCTGAGTTTATTAAGTTGCTGTCGTGTGAGCGTGAAATATGGAACCGAATAAAGAATTTTACTAAGAGCCAATGCATGAACCAATTGACTCGCTTGTTTTTCATTGAGGCCCGCACGTCTTTGCACGACTCTGCGGACAAGATGTGTTACCGAGTCGCACGTGTTTATCGCCGGAGTGATGTTAGCCTGATTTGATCGATCGTGGAGATGGATGCCGAGGACCTTGCATAAGGATACTCGCGGGATGGTCTGATGGTCTAAATAGAGAGAAATGAGATGGTTTACAGAGCGCTGATACTGGGTTTGAGACAGCAGGAGTAATTCCGATTTTTCTGGGGCCGGTTTCAGCCCTGCTTGGGTTAGGAACGCAGTTATGGTGTCTAGACCTTTCTGAAGAGTAGATTCAACTTCCCCTGGTGATCCGTGAGTGCACCAGAGGGTGAGGTCATCAGCATAAAATATGTGGGAAAGGTGGGGTATCTGCTGCAGGCAGCGAGCTAGCTGGGCCATACCCAGATTGAAAAGAGTAGGGGAGAGGACAGCCCCTTGAGGTGTACCTCGTGTGAGTGAGAGTGGTTGGGACAACTCGCCCCCTATACGAAAGCTTGCAATGCGGTCCTTAAGGAAGTTTTGGATGTAGGTATACAAATTTTGTCCGCATTCTGTTTCTCGAACTGAAGCGAGTATGTGATCATGACTTATGTTGTCAAATGCTTTGCGAACGTCTACTGTGACGAGCGCATGCGCCTGACAGGAAGATGGGGAGAGGAATGTGTGCTGGAGTAAAAGGAATAGGTCTTGAGTGGAAACATGGGAACGAAAGCCGATTTGGGTGTGTGGCAGGAATGCAGTGGCTTCAAGATGTTCTTGAAAACGATCGAGGACCATCCGCTCCATCGTCTTGCCCACGCAAGAGGTTAACGAAATGGGACGGAGGTTATTAAGTGAGGGGGGTTTTCCAGGTTTGGGGATCATGATAATAGTAGAAGATTTCCATTCCTTTGGGTATGTACCCTCCGACCAATGTTCATTTATGTAGGTCAGGAGCTGTTTTTTATTCGCTTCTGGAAGGTTACGGAGGAGGCAGTACGTGATGGTATCTTCTCCTGGGGCTGATTTTCGTGAGTTTTTTTGCTAGGGCCAAGTCTAAGTCTGCTAGTGTGAAAGGGCTGTCTAAAGTCGGGTTTTCAGGGCCCGAGTAGGAGGGGTAGTTTGAGGTCAATGCTGGAGGGATGTATAGGTTCTGTAAGGCTTGGATAAGGTCTGTGCTACCTTGTAAAGCTAAGTGTTTGTCTAGCGTGGGAGCGGGAGGTGGCTGAGGCCCTAGAAGTGAACGGAGGAGATGCCATGCGGTCTTTTGGTGGAGGGTACCGTTTATCTGATCACATACTCTGTTCGAGTTCGAGATGTCGAGAGTGCTGCAGTGTGTAGTAATGTCTACATCTAGGTGTTGTAAACGTTCTCGGAGTTGTTGATTGTGGGGTTGCTGGCTAATGCATCTTAAGATACGCTTACGACGTCTCCAGAGGCACACTAGATGCGGGTCTTGCCGTATCGCCGGGGCTGTGGTGTTTTCTATTTTCGTGGCTTGTGTTCGGGCTTGTTTGATGGCGCATATCTAGGTCTCGTAAGAGCCTGATTGCTGCCCGGGTGAAACAAGGATGCTGCGAAATTTATCCCAGTTTGTATTTTTGACTGATATTTTCCGTGAGCGGCTAGAGATGCTGAGTGATATTGAGAGAATGAAGTGGTCACTTAGAAGTCTCTCTTGAGTATGAACCCAGACACTCGAGTTTCTGCCGTGGTATAGTGTGAGATCTGGGGTGGTACAGTGTTGCTGGCGTGTGCCTTGTCGGGTTGGCATGTCGGGAGTATTTAAGACAGTGAACTGGCGCTGTGAAATGTACGATTGCAGAAGTCGCCCTGGGCGAAGTGTGGATAGGTAACCCCAGCTGACATTTGGGGCATTAAAATCACCGCCCAGGAGTACCTCGTAATTAGGTGTCAACTCTGCAGCAAAGTTGAAAAGTGATTTGAATAGGCGGTGCTCTGTGGGGGGATTATATAGGTTGAGGAAGCATATAGGTCTGTGTTTAGGGAAGGGATAGTAAGCACATGCCACTACATTTTGTCTGAGAGATGTAGGGATGATCAGTGGTTCATACTGGATATCCCGCCTTATGAATGTGGAAACTAAAGGGGCCTCGTTTGGATGGCCATGCAAAGCTCGGTATCCTGGTATGTTAACTGCATAGCGTGTCTCCTGGAGTAGTAGAATATGGGGAAGAGAATCTAGGGTAAGGAGCCATTGATGAAGGGAAGTGCGGTTTGTTTTGATGTTCCGGCAGTTCCACTGGATGACTTGCAACTGGGAATTTTCTACCATTATGAGGTCGTGACTGAGGAGGGGGCAGGAGGGTGTGCCCTTTGAAGGGAACAGGGGTGTTCAGTGGATTCAGGAGAAAGGGGTCTTTTAAGAGATTGGGATGTTGCTTCCATGGGTATGGGTGATGCAGAGAGCATACCGACAGCTTTTTCGAGGGATGCTACCGCCTTTGTTAGTTCTTCAATGCGGGATACGAGAGGGTTTACTGTGCCTAATATGTTGGACACTAGTGTTTCGATGTTGGCTATACGTTCTGTGAGTTGGGCGATTTGTTCTTCACATGGGGTTAGTCGTTCTTTTAACATTATGAGTTCATGCTCCATGTGCCGTTGGTAGTTAGGAGAATCATAGACGGGGGGAGTAAGCGAAGTGAGTGCAGGTGAACGCTTGCAGGGAGAGGGAGTAAGTGATGGAGCAGGAGCACCTATCGATGGCGGCGATGGTGCTGGTTCTGTGAGGTTTGCTCGTGTGGTCTTCGGTTCTTGGGAGACTATGTCAGACTTTGGTTGAGATGTTGTTAGGTCGGCAGGGTGCAGAAGTGACCGTTGTTGTGGTAAGTCTTCAGTCTGGGATGACGGTGAACGTGGAGTCGTTGAGAAGCCCGCAGAGGCGTGCCCCCAGGTGGCCGTTGCAGGTAACATTCCCTTACGGGTTTGCTATTCTGTCGGTTTTTGCGCGTTGCGGAGTGATGCTTTCAGTTGCGCTTGTGCCTCTAGATGGTACTTGTTTAAGGATGGTGGTTGATATGAGTTTGAGGAACTCAGCTCCGTCTTGTGTTGAGCCGCCGATTGCTTTTTGTTCGCAGTCTGCCCGGAGTAAGCTGGGGGCTTTTGCATATTACGTGGAAGGGTTTTTCGGAGATGCACACGATGTTCGTATGCCGCCTTCATGCTGGCTTGATCTTTTTGGCGCTGGACCGGGCAAGTCGAGTCGAAGGAAGAGTGTTCACCCCCGCAGTGGTAGCACCGAGGGGAGCAAGCGTGAGAGGCTTGTTGGTGAGGTATTTGCGCGGCGCATGTGGGGCATCTCCAAAATGTTGGGCTCTCTGGGCAATTAAAGGTCCGGTGGCCGTACATACGGCACTTCTCACATCTCAGGGCACGTGGGCGGTGTGGGTGACACCGGTAGGTTGCCCGGCGAAAGAGGATGGTGCGGGGGACGTTGGCTCCTTCGAACGTGATAAGGACTGACTCAGTGTCCCCCATCATGCGTGCGGTGATAATGGTGGTTTGAAAGCTTTCAAGAGAGTGCATGAGGTCATTGGTTGTGAGTCCCGCTTCTACACCGTGGATGACCCCTTTGCAGGAATTTATCGGGGCGGCTAGGTAGGGGCTGATTTCATGGAGCTGATTCCTGGCACGAATGCGTTTAGTTTGGCTGAGGCGACGTGCTGAACTTTCAAAGGCGGTTTTAAGGAGTATGACTCTTTGTTGGAGGCGGACGTCGATATTTACCTCTTCACTAGCGTGAGGTGGCAGGGAGGCTGCGGCCAGGAAGAAAGGGAGGAGATCGTACCGTTTGATATCTTGGAGTTGCAGGCTATGCGGAATTGGCACCACCACCGTATGGAGCTCATTTACCTGGCGCGGCAGGGTGCGTTGGTTCCTGGACTTGCGGGGCGTGATCCACCCCTCGTTCGGGTCTTCTGCCTGGTGAAATTCGTCGGAGTAATGCATCGACTCGGTGTCGAAGGTAGCTTCAGCAGCCGACGTGCCTACACATGTCGAGGCCGTCGGTTCCAGTTCGGTGGCATCCATTGCTGGGCGGGTTTCTGAAGTCAGGCGTCAGGCGCTGACGACGCAAGGCTTAACGGGGCTACCGAAGCCTTGGAACTGTAGATCGCTGGTAATCCGAAAAATTAAGACATACAACCGATGATATGATGTGAAACGGGAGCTGGAAGCCTCAAAACCACGGTCTGCACGAATATTTCAATAGGTGAAACTCGAAAGCCAGGTGTCGGGGCTAAATATTCGGAACACGAAACGAGAGCAAGACGCCAGGCTGTCGTCGTCTTCTTTTTTTTTTTTTTTTGCATGACAAACAACACCTATAGTCTTGGGGGAGCCCCTTGCGCGCTTTCCTATGTAAATGCCTAAGGGCGTTCACTGTTTGGAGTGGAAAGGTGCGAAGCACTCGACGCAGAGTGGTACAGCGCATGATTTGCAGATGCACTGGGTCCTGGATTCTTTGGACCTGGTGGAGCACCATCTACACCTTCGCCTTTTGCTAATTTTTTGTGCATGATGACCACTCCCTTGAAAGCGAAGCACACTGGGCACTACAAACATTGCTTGTCCGCATCGATTGCCTCTTTTCTTGTGCATGAAAGCCGCTACTCTGCGTTTCTCCTGAATGTTTGACGGGAGATGAGCTGGCGTCCCAACGTTAGTCGAAACTGCATGTAGTCGACTTCCTTCATTGACATGTACTAAATAAAGGCGTTAACAGCAGCAGCGTCAAGCAGGTAGTAAAAAAATTCGACACCACCACTTTTTTGACTGGCGGTCTGCTGGGTAAGTGTTCCTTTTCTGATCAAAGCGGTCAACACCGCCATCCACTTGTTATAGTCTGAAAGCACCTTCGGACAGGGCGCACCATGCAACTTTGGCACCACTGGCAAACTTCCGCGTGACTTCTACGACTTCTTGTGGGTCATGGTAGTTGGACATCGCGCGTACATTCTTGTTGTCGCGCCACTGTGTGGCTGTGACACATCCTTTGGACCACCAGAGGTGCTGGCCTTTCTGAAGCTTGCACTCCTTGTTTAGCTCGATTGGTAGGTCCTTGCGTGCCGGTCTGAATGTGCCTGCAGCTAGCACTCTCAGCTCCCAGAGCTTCTCCATCAGCTTTGTAGATGCAAAGTAGTTGTCAAAAAACAACTGACTGTTCTCTTTTATGTGATGTGAAAGGGATAAAACGACGTGTTCGCCCAAGGAGAGATCGGGAAGTCGCTTGGTATCCTTTCTCTCGTATATCTGGAACTCTAGGAGGTAGCCAGTCTCGGAGTCAGCCCAACACCAAACTTTTTAGCCTCGTTTGATCGGTTTCATTGGCATGTACTGTTTTAGTGAAGACCGTCCTTTGAACGGTATCATACTCTCGTCGATGGACTGATGCGTTGACGGCGCATATTCTCTCAGGAACCTTTCGCTCAAGGCAGTGACGAGGGGCCTCACTTTTGTTGCCAGCTTATCAAAGCCGTCTTCTCCGCGCTTCTTCTCAAGTTCGTTGTTATTGAGATGAAGGCTGTTCATAATCGCCTGAAATCCTTTGAAAGTCATGACGTTTGAGATTTCGGAAACGTTGAAGAACTTGTATGTGCTCCAGTACAGGTACAAGTGATGCACTGGGTGCACACTCATCAGGAAAAGCATGCCCAAATACGCTTTGAGCTCATCTGTAGTGAGGTTTTTCCACCCCGCTCGGCATTTCTGATGCGCATAACGATTCGTCTCTAGCACGATTGTGTCAAGAACTTCTTCATCAAAATACAATCCAAATGCCTCAGCGACACCTGATGCCTCGGTAAGCTTTTCGGTGTACCGAGGATCTCGATCTGGTGGGTCCTTCACAATCTCGGTAGGTAAGTCTGCACACTACAAAGAGCCGGTTGCATCCACTTCATCTTCCTCGTGTTGTGCTTCGGCAAAGCTGTCGACCTCCAATGTGCGTCGTCGACGTTTTTTGGGCTTCTTCCTTTCATAAGATTTTCTTTTCTTCGATGTAGCACCTGTAGACGGCCCTGCTGCATCTTCGTCCCTTTGTCCTGTCAGAAATGACACCTTGTCTGTCTACAACTATTCAGTTTTTTGTAGTAAGACAATCAAGCCGTCAGTCACCTCCAGCGCAATTATGCTGTTTCAAGAGCCACGGGTCCCTATCATTTCGTCGAAGCTCGTTTCGTGGAATTACGTTTCGTGGAATTACGTTTCGTGGAATTACGTTTCGTGGACAACTTTTCGTGGACACACGTTTCGTCGACAGTGTGACGTTTCGTCGACAGCACCACCGTAAAACGTTTCGTAGACAAACTTTTTTTTTTCGGTTCGAATGCCGGAAACGTAAAGGGACCATGAAATGATTTTAAAATCGAGTTTCATCCACCGCACGTCGTAAAAGGTGTGAAAAGAAACACAAAAACACAAAAATAGGGAGCCAAAAAAAATTATTTGCTATAGAACTTTTAAAAGAAAACTGGACTCTTTTGCGCCTTCCTTCCTTCGCCTGTTCACTACGATGCATCCGCGGAAATGGAGCACGTCAGCCAAATCCAGGTCGCGTATTGGGTAAGAGCCTACCTCACCAGCACCGCGATCGTAAACAATAAATAGCCGGCGAATGTTTCCTAAAAGTTTTGTTAAATAATATTCAGATCCACATTTTGTAGCATAATTAGAGATGTGTGGCGAAAACTGCCAAATTTGATAATGCTGAGAGCCAAGCGCCATCTATCGTGTGGTAAACGAAGCAACTACTGCGCGTGCGCAGTAGGGCAGGGCCGGCAGGGCCGACAGTTACTTGGGTGGCGGCGACCGACGAACATTTATTCTCTTTGTTTTCCTTCCTCTCAAAACTCTGACTGACTGAACGTTTATTTTTCTACGTGTTCTTCCCGCGCGTGCCGACTTCAAGCAGCAAGAAAACAGTACTTAAAACAGACCACGACGAACAAGAACGCTGGATCCACCGACTCCGACGAAGCGAGCTGCTCAGAATATAGGCCTAGCAGGCATTCCGACTCGGCGCTGCGTTGCTTCGTCGCAAGACCGTCTGCCTACGACCGGCTGGCGTGCTAAATGGAATATGCCCGCGCGACCCTTGTGGACCCTTCCCGTATTATAGTTTGATCACTGACCTCAATTCTAGATTAAGAGGTGAGGTCAATCTTTTCCCCTTGTTTTCCGAGGCAGTGTTGACGAACACTCGTCGAAAAGGGACTCTCGTCGATTCTATCTTCTTGTTTTGTGTGATACAGAGCTGAAATAAACGCCGTGTGGATTACCTTCGTAACACGGTATGTACACTTGGTTATTGGTATGCCATTTTTATTCTGACAGACTGCACGTCACTGTCGAGCTATAACAGTTCGTGGGAGGTATACGTACAACCCCGGTCCAACCTTTCTTTGCCGAGTGTCGCGTCAGTATCGAGTTGCAATCGTAAAAGAACGGTCCCGAAGCGCTTACAAAGAGCGCGAATACAGCACTTCCATCAAGCGCGCGCGTCCGCGCCGAGTGTAAACAGGTATTTACGTGGCTCTTGCTGACACTCGTAGTTCAAACGTATCTTTTTTAACGTCGGCTCGCTCCTGCATCTCCGAGGCCGCGAAAAACGCCATCTACGTCGCTTTGCAAGCGACTGACACGGGCCGGCCCTTCTGCCAACAATGGCAGGGTGGTTGACTTCTGGAGTCTTCACCGGAAGATTCGCTGCACTTCCCAACAGGCATACCGGCGTATGGGACTAGTCCCATGCTGTCGTTGTAGCGCAACATATCTCATTGAATTTCGCTCAGCTGCGATGCGGCGATGAGAGGATGAGAGGCACCGATTCAGGAAATACGTCGGTGACATCAGCGCAGTAAAACCTACCGGCGCACCCCAACTCGTTGCCGCTAACACTCTTATTCTCCTACTGCCGAGAGAACTTCCGGTTCCGGAAACGGCCTACGTCACGGCTTGTTTTGCGGTCAGTTAAAGAGAATGAAAAAGTCGATATTTCAATAATTTTTTGTGTAGAAGTTAATAAACCGAGACGAAAACGGATGCCTGTTCGGCATTCAGTGAACATTGACGGTTTAATGTAAAAGTTATCTGGAAAAAGTAAAAAGGTCATTTCGTGGTCCCTTTAAGGTACATGCGCTTGTAACAAATGAAAAAGACGATGCCTAGCGCAGTTGCTCTCCAAGGTGAGCAACTGCGCCATCCTCTCGCTCTCATCCGTGTCAGATGGAAAAGCAAGAGCACGCAGGACTTCGCGCGCGGCCTATTCGGATATTTGCAAGTTCCGATGCCCGTTTATAGAACCGAAAGTTACTGGAAGAAGAAAAGCGGTGGAGAAAAATATCCGTAGGCACAAAGCAAAACTTCGATCCAATGGTGGGTTGCGGAAAAGGGCGTAAACACTGTTTTTTTTTTTTCTTCATATAGGTTATTTTTAAACAAAAATACAGCTTGCAGCTTTTTATTGAAACCTTACCACCCTAATATTTCAATTGAAATTAAGCATGTTCATTACCCTCAATTATTCAAAAGGAAAAGTGATGCAGTGTTTTACTGGCTACTGCGACTTATACGCGAAAAAACTGTTTAGTCACACTCGTTTCATCGTCATTTATCCTTAAGGGATAAAGCTAGGACATTACACAATAAGGGGGCTGTAAACAATGTTAAATAAAAATAAATAACAAAAGCACGAAAACCAATAACACTCGCACTACCGGGAGCACGCTGCCCGCGAGTAAACCTAAATAAAAAAAAAAACTACATTGCAATGCAATAAATAAATAAATAAACACGACAATTGGTAACAGATAAATAAAACAGTGCACCAAGTTTAGTCGCATTACACAAAGTAAACCATAGTTGATATCGAATGTGCATCTTAATGCATTATATAGCTTCCCTCGAGCAGCCGCCACATGCAAGGCCTTGGAGGAGGTAGTACCACTAGACGAAATCTGTCGGCAGCAGCCGACTGGTCCTCACACGCGACATTCAATTGTTTTTTTATCGATGCCAGCAGACAGATACCTGGGGCCAGTTCGTAGCTCTTTTCATAAAAAAGCGGCTTCCAAATCTAATGTTCTTTGATTACATATTGGTTTATCTGCATGCAAAATTTCAGTACAGGCACAACATATGCAGAACTATTGTGTTATTCATTATCCAGAAGCTAAATATGCTAAAGATTAAAAATCGTATGTGGTCTGGTAAGTACAGTACGTAGCATACCCGGTGTTTGGAGGAGAAAACAACCGTGTTTTATCACCGTAAAAGTAAACCACGCGTAGGCAAATGCTCAGTCTCCTTCAAATTTTATTGCTAGCGGCTAAGACCACATGCCAATTAGCTTGAAAACCGATTTTATGCCATTTTCAACGGTAGGAAGGCTGTGTGCACCGCAAACAGGCCTCGTTTATTCTTTCAAATTTTCTTTAAGAGGTTCAGTGTTTTGACGTGTGGACTATCTATGCTATGTTCAGGTGCCTCTTGAGGATTCTGCCAAAAGACGCGACGCGCGGAAAGATACGCTTGCTCTGGACATGACCCAGCCCCTTTTTCAAAACAGTCGGAGTGCCGGCGGCCAGCTCGCGAAGGGTTGCATTCGATAACGTACAGACACCTCGATCACGTACACTGCCGAAAGCGTAGCCCTCAAGAGCAGCGCATATTGTTGAATCTTTTAAAAATCTAATTTGAGAAAGGACACTGGTCGATAACAAAACTTCCCGGCTTTGACAACGCTCCCCCAAAGGTACGGGCAAAGACACGAGCGAAACCATTCAAATCGAGTTCAGAAATCAGTGCAATCGGCGAACCCCCCCCCCCCCCCCCCAACCAAAAAAAAAAAAAAAGTATAATAAAAAAATTGCGATAGTTCAAGTTGGTGAGGCCAAATGGCTGCGCACTGCGGGGCCAAATGGCTGCGGAGAGGGCAAATAGTACGTGTGGTTGCCGTGCGGTGGAGCCACCTAGGAGGAGTACAAACCTGCCATGCAGCGAAGCCAACCACCTCTTCCGTAGGATGCTCAATGATGTCGCCCTAGTATGGTGCCTGGATCGCGTCTTCGACTGGTGTGTTTAGCGTCCTATCCCGCCCATACTTCAAAAGTGGTCCCAATGTGGCAACAAATGACGCGAGTGTCATGCTGTTGCCTGTCGCGATCCTGGCGGTTGGCCGTAGAAATGCTGGCGAAAAGCACGAGCGAACGCGAGTGTCGCTTTCGTCACGGCGTCCCTTTAGGCGTCCCAACTTCCGGCTGCTAGCTTCCGTGAACTGTCAGAGTGGAAAGCGACCTGCAGCAGAACAGGCGTCTGCCACTTACACCACAACCGTTGGGGCGCCGCCAGGGTCGCAACAGGCGACAGCATGACACTTCTATGACGTCATCAGGCGGAAATCGAGGGACCACTTTTTTGAACCCGGTAAACACACCAGTCGGAGACGCGTTCCAGGCACCATAGCCCTAGCAGCACCGACAGCAAGAAATCTAAATGTTTTTGACTGATAGCTCGGGACCAGCTCGCCGTTTTCAACGGAATATTACTTCTTATTTCTCTACCTTTTCACCCGCACACGACCCGGCGCCAGCTATTTCTATGCGCGCTATTCAAGGTGACTCCCGAAGCCCCAAACAGCCGCCAAAGCAGAC